CGCTAGTCTAGTCATCGGTGTTAAATCGTTCATAATTTCCCACCTGAGGGCCGCCATTTTTTATGTTATGCAATAACAAGGGAGTTACTGATCAACAAACCGTAATGATCCGGACCGAAAATAGAATATATTCTTCTTCTTATTTATAACTAATCCGAACCTCCTCTTTTTGTGGATTAGTCACTTTTCAAAAATGGCCGCCGCAACTTTTGATGAGCAGACGTCAGGTCGTCTGAGCGTTTGATCTGAGTAGGAAAATAAAAGTAATAAGCATGTTCATGATAAAGACTTTTCAAAAATGGCAGTAAAAATGTCACATAAGTCTCATGTGAATTGTTATACCATAAAAGTTGTTTTGCATCTGAAACAGTTGGAATTTTGAAGATATCTCGTTTGCTATTTTTTTTATTAATATTATATATATTAAGTTTGATTATCTGTATTTCCTCCAAATGCAAATTACAATACATTTCATATTAATAAAGGCAAAATAATACAAAAGCAAAATCAAAACAATGGATAGTTACCTACATGTCACAAAACATGTATATATGTTATTGGACATAAGGTAAGATATGCGTACATTGTACAATCAATATTCTCCCTAACGGTATTAGCATGTGAATCAATAAAGAAAGTGTCATAAACAATTTTGTAGTTACAAATCAGCTGCTGTAAATTGTTAACATTTTATAGACATTCACCACAAAAGTAATTCTAAATTCTTCCAATTCAATATTTTAGTTAACTTTGCCTCCAAACAGATGATACATAATTTCATCTTCAGGTAATGCATGTATATAATGACTAAATGTCAGGGCGTGTATGTTAGGCTATATCCATCCAAAGCTTATCTCTAATAGTACTTGTATATTTTAGATGTCCATAAACATTAGTATCCCATCCTCCTGCTTTACCGGATTTAAGTTAACAACAAATATTCCTCACTTCTTTTTCAGTATAGACTTTCAGTAAAAATGCATCTTTCTCTCCACCTACACCACTTTCAACCTCACCAATCTTTTCCAAAATGAGGTTTATGAACACGTCATCCAACGTATCATCAGAAGGTTCTTTCATATTTTCAAAATGCTTTGCCCATACTTCTATTATTCTTCAGGTTCTCTGAACGTTGAATCATTGTATTTCAATTCTGATTGTCCGCTCTTTGATTTCATTTTTTTTTTATTAAAAAGTTGCCACATCATTTTCTTATCTAGCTCACATGATCGGTCTATTTCTTCAAATTGTTTAGACATATAGTTACAGAACGCAAGTCTTAAAACTGTCTGAATTCGGCTTTTAACTTTGTATATAACACCGATTTCCTATATCTCTAGGCTTAGTCTCATTGATCTATCTGATTCGTTTTAGTCTCATTTCTCTATGAATTACTATCAGATTTTTGTTCCAATACGATTTCAGATGCTTACGAAATTTCAGAACTTTTAATAATAAGTTTGATGACTTGTTTCTGGTACCGTAATTTGTGCTAATTAGGCGTTCAGAGTAAAAGGAAATCTATTAATTTCTCTATTTCTGATACATGTAGCTTTTTCCTAACTATACTTGACAAAGATAATACCTGTTTCAAACAATTCACGAGCCTTAATAAATGAAACAACCTGCAAATTAATGGATTATTATCAGATACATTAGATTCACAATCATCCATAATATAACAGGTTCTCAGCAAATCTGACATACATGTCTCAAAAATAATGTGGTCAATCATGGAATCTCTAATTATATCATTATGTGATACATACGTATAATGAGGACCTTCACAGTTGCTTTGTACGTTTACCGTAAAAAGATTACATCTGGTAAAAAATGACTGGAAAAGTTTGGTTCTTACATCAGCAACAAAATGACACCTAGGACCACGGACTTTAATATTCATATCTCTGAATAAATGTCATAAAGACAGACCAAATAATCTACTTACTCATTAAAGTTTTCAAATGATCTGGACGACGCTGGCATGTAAACAGAGAAATAAAAAACGTAACATCATTGAAAAGAGTGATTTGCGCACCCACAGTTCTATGGTTGTCTAATTATATTGCTTGAACCTTTTGTATTTTTAAAACGGAGCGCTACACCACCTCTTATATAACATCGATATCTGAATGGATCAGCCTCAATAACACTGTAATCAACTTTGTCGAAATAGTCAAAGAATGAAATATTGTGCTCTCTTAACCATTGTTCCGATATTCCACACAAGTGGATATCATGCCTTTGCAGACACTTGATTAGATACGGGGCACGATACATAATACCTCCCGCGTTCCAACACATTACATTAAAACTGTCCATGACTACGTTGGTTTTCCATAAAGACATCCCGTGGTAACCACTCCGTCATCCATATGCTCCTTGGCCAAATGTGGTCACACTTAATGATGTGTTCGTCCTCAGCATCAATGTTGAGCTGCGCGAATGCTGTACCCTTCCACCTTTTTTAGAAGTACCGAAGATACGTAACACAAACACCAGACTGATGTAAGAACTCTCTCATAGCAGCTTCTGATGCCGTGTTTCCATCTATCCCGTACACAAAGAACAGACTTATTTTCCGCTTCTGTTTTCTTAATACTATGAAGTTTTTCGCCAGCTTCCTCGATCACTCTTCAGCACTTTCACAGACGGAAGACGGAAATATTTTGGATACTTGTTGTATCAGACATTTGATTATGTCATTATGTCTCGTAGTTTAACTATTTTTAATATGTGTTCTATCACGTCGTACTTTTTCACGATTTCCCACCTGTTTGGTTCATTTTTGCTGGATGTACCGTTAGATGTCGTCTGACACACTGAAACGGTTCAACACTGGTATGTGTGCTACTGTCCCTGTCTCGTCCTGTTTGTCGTTGTGATTCCCATTTCCGGATTATTTTGTTTTGTCGCTGTTCCCAATTATAATGTCTCTTATTTGTTTCCTGGTTTCCGTAATCTGTTGTTGAATACTGTTCGTGATTTGCTGGTAGTCGACCATCGTCTCATTCAACTTGTCAACATCCGATTCAAAGCTCTTTGTATGTTGTAGTACTAGTTTCAGCTTATTCTTGAGACTCTGAACACCATTTGTCTGCTCGTTGTTAAACCTACTGACAATCTGTTCACAATCAGATATCTTAACTTTTGTTGCGATAATTGCTTATTATACACAGTTTCTTTTCGTATACTGCGTTTAATTTGTCTATGTCCGTTTTTGCTTCACTTATTTCTTTTTTGGTTTCACCGAGTTGATTTTCTGTAGATAATATTTCCTGTCTCAATTCTTTTGATTCTTCATTGTTTCCTTGAGCGATTGTGTCTCTTCTCTTGTTTTATCTATTTCCTTCTTCAAATCCTCTTCTCTTAGCACTTTTGTATCTTCCTTGTACACATTTTGTTATTCTTTTATTGTATGCACATCTGTTTTTAATGAAGTCAACATCTCTTGGAGGATTTGATACCTGCAGCACCAATGTTGCTAGTAGAACTTGTTATCGGTGTTTGTGGTTCCTTAGATTTCTTAAACGGCACTACACCATGGAGTTTCTCATCGTACTCCCCGTCTAAAGCACGTATCAACACTTGGCAATATTTTGCTAAATTCAATCGTACAGAAGCAGTCTACTACAATCAACAGGTAAAATGACTAGAAATATCACAGATGAACAACAACTATGTACATGTCGTTAACTAACAATAGTATAACAAATATAAAAAAACTCACCACAATCTGTAGTTTCTGCACACAAATTTTCAATAGCAATTTAGCAAAGCTATTTGTGGCTACGCATGGCTACCTGTAGATCCCTAATTAAAAACCGTAGACGGATGAGTCGATTTTCATATGAATATCTGGTGATGATCATAATTATGATGCTCGTCAAAGTGGATAGATGATGATGATGATGATGATGATGATGATGGTACTAATTACGTGTCATTGCTCATATATGATGATGATGATGACGATGGCGATGATGATGATGATTATTGAGAAACTCGTGCATCTGTCTTCAAGTGAAAGTATGTGTGATGTAGATGTTACAAAAGATCTGAAAAAGAAGAAATATCAGTGAAACCTGACCCAAGGGTCAATATTAATATTATGATTGTGTTCGTCTCGTGATGCCGAGCAATGAAATATAATGGCTATGGGCTAGGAAAAACAACCGTTTAAAAGTTATGGGCCAGGAATGAAGTTCCAAAGGATGGGCCAGACCCATCTGTTTATTATAATATTATGACTACATTTATCGTGTGTAATGCCTATCAAATGTATATATGACTATGGGGAAGGGATTTAATCCGTTTCAAAGTTGCGTCCCAGAAATTAAGTCCCTAGGGGTGGGGCCAGACCCACGCGTCAATAATAATATCATGACTGTGTTCGTCTCTTGTAGCACATGATTGTGGGGAGTGGATCTCAACTGTTTCAAAGTTATGGCCAAGAAATCAAGTTCCTAGGGGTTTGGCAGGACCCAGGTGTTAATTATTTTATCATAAATGTGTTTGTCTCTTGATGCTTAGAAATTGTTAGCATGGTTATAGGCTGTGTATCTCGATAATGTCGAATAAAAACTCTATTTGGTCCCACCCAAAGGGGAGCCACATCTCCCGTTTATACAAAAGTACACAAGTAAATTCATCTTATCCAAGGATATTCTAGGCCCTAAAATTGATTAAACTCCTTCCATTCGTACAGAAGTAGAAGAGCTTTGAATGATTTACCCAAATTCACCTTACTGGGCCCGCCCCTCTTGGCAGGTGAGCTAAAAACGATATTAAATATTTGTATCATTTCAATTTAAACATTTCCGGGTAAATTGGCGTACAATATCAACCTACCAATATACTGAATCTAACAGATCAATACAACATTTTTTTTTCTCTTTTAACCCTATTGAAAGAAGGATACTTCTTATATTTCTGATTAGAAAATTATTTCGTAAGTAAATGTTGATTATGATCAATTTTTTAAAAAAAATATTCTGTAGATGGTCCTCGAACCTCCCTAGCCCTGTCCCCATCGGACACTACCTACACCAGGACGGAGGGGGGCACATTACCGGACATTACCTGTACAGCTGAGTGTAGACCTGACTGTACCTTTGTCTGGACAAAACCTGACAACACCAACTTTACTGCCTCAGCTGTGTTATCACTTGGACAACTGGACAGATCAGAACACGGGACGTACATATGTACTGCTGGGAATGTTGTTGGAACGTCAAGTATCACTACCAGTGTAAACGTACAATGTAAGTATATTTTATACTGTAGGTCCGAACAAGTGCACAAAAACATTTTTGACATATACTTGATGTCTAATTTAGTAAGATAGTATCTACCTATAGAGTTCCAGTTCTCATTTTTAGAGTGGGTTATCTATTATATAGTTTTGATTTGTTTACTTTGTACATATGTTTCAAGATCTACCATTCCCATACTTCCTTTTTTTATTTTACTACAACACATTCTTCTTTCCAGTTGATTTACATTTCCATCCCAGATGTAATCCCAAATTATCTTGTCAATTTCTTTTAGATATTTACATGGTATGCCCCTCGCTTCTATTTCATATCCTATAATACATCTAATTAGTGATTTAATGATTAAAGTTTTCCCGCTAAATGTTTCTGGTTTTCGAAATTTGCAGACAGTTTTATATTTTGTTAATTTTTTCTTGCCAAATTTTGTCATATCCATGATGAATTCCTAGAGTATATCCATGATGAATTCCTAGAGTTTTCACATTTGTTTTTGTCCATTTTATGATATTAAATCGCGATTAAATTGCGATCGGGCATCCCTGGCGAGCTGATCTAGAGATTTTGAAATATTTAGATGTAAAACCATTAGTTTGAATACATGTTTTTGATTTTTTTCAAATCCAAGTACAAAATTTATTAAATTATTTAAAACATTTTAATATCCATCCGATTCTATCCTATCAAAAGCCTTTTGTTAGTCTAGAAATATAATTGAGATAGAGTTAGTTTTATATAAACAAAAGATTAATACTTACATTAGTACAAAATGTATCCTCAGAAGAATAAAACTATGTTTTATATTGTTAGGTGTATCCTTGTAGTTTTATAGTCATACATGTAACAAGATTTAGCAAACCTAGTCAAGTTCTGAAATTGTTAAAGGAAGGATATTTCTCTGTTGAATTTGTCTTTGAAGAACGTCCCGGATATGTTCTATTGCATTCAAGTAAGAAGATGCACCAGGCCAATTCATTTGGTCAATTGTTTCAGTTTCAAGATATTTCTGCACTATCCTTGCACGATGGGGACGTGCATTATTATCCATCAGGATGGAGTTTGGGCCAATTGCACCAGCATATGGTCGAACATTAGGACGAATGATCTCATATCTGTATCGCTGACCAGTCAACGTTCCATTTTCTTATGACGTACAAGTCTATTTTACCGTCAATAGATATGCCTCCCTACAATATTAATGAACTACTATCAAACTGATTGTGTTCTGTAACACAGCAATCACGAAATCGTTCATTTTTCTCTCTCCACGCGCGTCTCCTTCCATCGTTAAAATCTACACAAAATTTAGACTCACCAGTAAAGATATCGGGACGAAGATGATGCAGTTTCCAGTTTACATGGTTTCTGCAAAAACATTCTTGCTGTCCGTTGTCGTGGGGTCAAAATTGGCCTAACGGCTGGTCTACAAGAATGACGAGTCGCTTGATGTAATCTATTTGGGTAGGTTTAAGTTGAAATCCGCACCCTTATATGATTTCTCATGTTGGTATTCAGCTCTACAGCAGAAGGAAACCTATTCCTCTTGACCTGTAGAATAATCGTGAGGTCCAGGCAGGCTGTCGTCATCTTGGCCTACCACTTATTGGTCTCTGGCAGACAGAACCACCTGCCTGGAAGCGTTGCCACAATCGTCCAATACCATTTTGCCTGACATTAATGTTCCTGGCCACATTTCGCTGAGTAATGCCAGTTTGAAGCATTTCTATGGCACTACCGGCCTGTTGTACACTCAAGTGCCACCTTTTATACATTTTGTCAAATTCAATCACAATATTCAATAACTGCTAAATGAGGGAGATTCAAATAATTTATCAATTGTTTCTGATGATCGTAATATTCCAGTTTTACTCTATATCGTCGGGTACGTATACAAAGCCGGGTGCGTTGACTGCTTGTCGTGCTCCAGATACAATGTTGCACGTGCATATTATGGCGAAGGCAGTAATTTTTAAAACGGAAAGCGGACAATAAATCCCGGCGAAATGTCAGCGAATTTCCTTCAATCTTTAGATATGACCCTTAACTTTTTCTTGCTGAGAATATATTGTTGGGCATTACTAGACGAACTTATCAATGCTACTTGGATTGACTGTGCGGTTTGATCTTGCCCCTGGGTTCTTACTTCCTCCGACATAACATGAAAATACAGTCAAACCTGCTCGAGCGGTCACCTGAAATAAGCAGCCAGTGGTCCGTCCGATATAAAAAATACTATATAATGAACCTGCAATAAGCAGCCACCCATCTAATGCGGCCAGCGGTCACAAAACCCTGGCCCGAGACGTTATCTCCACCTGTATTCAGCGGTCATTTTGTCCAAAAATTGACACCAAGAAGATCACAATATATTAACAAGAACACCTATCAATAGAGCAAAGCTAATTGCAATGTGTAATTAAAAACCAGACGTAAGGTTTGACACGTTGAATTGACAAGTTGTTTAAAATACATGTAGATTTCAGTACTGGTGGTTGTCTGCTAGCGCAAAACGTATGTGAAACACGTGTGTAGCCAAACACAAATAAATTCATAATTTCAAGAAATTAATCACCAAAACGCCTTTGTATTTTATGGATTATGCATTTATATTCAAGTATGAAATCTTACCCCTGTTGATGAAGGGAGAAAGATTCAAAATAACATAGCAGCTTATATTGCCGGGAAAATATCATTATAACCCGTGGATGTATGAAAAATTGGTTGTGATTTTCGGGTGAGCCTGGTTTTAGCAGCCACCTGAGTTAAGCGGCCAATTTCTGCCGGTCCATTGGGTGGCCTCTTAATACAGGTTTGACTGTAGTTTAAATCCCCCATAGTAGTGTACTTGATAGGCATATACAGACGTACATACCATTGCTTTACTAGGATTTTGCTACGTTTATTTGGTCGACATAACAACAAACATTTCAGTATACTATACTGTCCTTTGTGTCGAGATTTAGCTTGTGTTACGTCTTATGTTTGTTGTATTTTTGACAATTTTCTTTTTTCTTAAATTGGAACCAACATCCGGGTCAGCTATGAAGGCTCTCGAGCTTTTTGTTTGGATTGACATGGCACGTGCTTTGTAAACACGCAGGTGTCCCACATATCCAATAGTTGACGCTGAAAATGATCCTAATATGCCAACGATGGATACCTTATATTCAGCTAAAGTTGGAACAGCAATACATAATTTAAATAGTTTCGGTAGACAACGAGTGGTGAGAGAAAGTGATTATATTTTGTAAAACAGGTAGGATGGACCATATCATAACATTGGTTCTTCGACAAATAATTCAAATTTCTATTATGTACATGTAAGCAGGTATTACTATATGGTTTTCATATTCATATATTACTAAATTTAATATGTCAAATTGTTGAAATATGTCAGAAAGCTTAAACAAATTGATATAAAAAAATATATTGAATCCTTAAGTTATAAAATGTGAATGTCTATCGTTAGAAAAAAGTTTAAACAGTAACTAAGGATAAAAAAGCGAAATCTCATATTTTTGAAATAAAAAAAAAAATATTGGTTTTACTAATAAGAAACATCTGAACACAGTTGACATTTTCATTTTAGGTAATCATTTCTTTGCAAGAAAGCGCATTCACATTTCATTTTCGGTTATACGTTCCAAGAGTAGATAAAAAATGAGTACAAATAACACATCGCTGTCTGCATTCGCGTCAGAACTGGTCGAACCGCCCTTATATTGGATGCATGGAGTATATTTCGTTTGGGTTAGGACCCTGTGTCCTTCGTCCTGCTGCAACTGTCCTTAGAACAGCAGCACTTACGAATCTCGGACGTCTTGCCTAATAGCAAGCATACCGACATATCGCTGATTTTGACCAGCGTTGAGTAACCCAATGCTGTAGCACGATGAATGATGCCAAGATTAATAAAACTACGCCTGGAAATGTCGATAATTTGTCATATATTCAACAAGAAACACGAAGAAATTCGCCATGAGTATTGTTCTGCTCACTTAGAGCTTAAACTCATGATGCACGTATACACTCATTTGCCTCTACCTCGATTATATATACTACGTGTATGGGCAATATGAGATGATTAAATTAATACATTTCTAGGTTTTCTGTCCAATATTCTTGTATACTTGTACTTGACTTTCTCAGTTCAATTTTGTATAACGTAATGTAAATTGAATGATCATGCAATTAAAATGTGAAATATGAGTTGTCATTTAAGGATTGACCTTCATTTTGACTGCGTATACGGTATTATGAACGCAGTTGGCAACAAACATATTCTATGGAGCACGTTAGGGCTCCATAAAGAATATGTTCGTTGCCAACTGCGTTCATACTACCGTATACGCAGTCAAAATGAAGGTCAATTCTTATATTTACATATTTTCCTACTATGATGGTACACTCAATATAAAGCTAACTCCAATACATTTGCTTTTATAATGGTACAAAGCCTTCGTAACGTGCGTAAATCCAAACAAATGAACAGCCTAAAGCCTGCGAGCAGCGATGGATCTCCAACGTTACCAATATGACGTCACAATGTAAATTACGTCATCAATAGGAAACAACGGTCTCCAAGGAATCTCATTGCGAATACGGTCAAATGTACGCAGTCACGGTTTACACAGCTTCAATGGGAGCATATGTAAATATATCCTAATATTTACATACTGTATGATTAGAGCCATTGGCAAAAATTACATTCATAAATGCATAACACAGGTGTTCATAGAATCTCACCATGTTGGAGTTGGTGTAAAACATAGTAATCTGATCACACTGCGTAGTAATACACTACAAAAACTACTCACTCGGAACGACCGACCTAGATGCTTAATTCATACGTTTAAATATAAACTTGAATTTCAACCCAAATAAACGTAAATATCTGTGTCATTTATGTACTATGGATACATGATTATGCTGTAAATTAAGTCCACACCTCAGCGTTAACGGAAATTACACTGTAGTCTAATACATTTGTCAACATGAACGTCCCAAAACAACTTAGCTGTCAGCTGGACGATGAAACAATAACGTTTGAGCTGGAACTGCCCGATATGTCAGAAGAGGAAGTAGAGAGATTTATTTCTACTCTTGATTTTTCATCAATAATTGAAATGAAATCAGCACATTAAGGAAAAATTTGCCACGATTGCTGACCCCGGTATCCCATCCGCCGGGCAGCCGATTCGGAGTGACCCCCCTCATCAATCACCTGCCAACAGAACCTTCCCGATTTAAGACGAAGAGCGGAAATCCTTTGAAGATGCCAACCAATCTCTAGCAATAAGGAGAAATACACAATGATAATTATCTTTATTTCGCTGATGTTCGTGATGTTGTTGAAAGTTATATTTGCGTATAACTGCACAATAACAAGTATTGATGCTGATTAAGTAAAATCGGTTGTTAATTTAAAATATACAAGCAATCCGAAACACTTCAGCATTACACATAAGACCTTCTTTTTTTGAAGGGTGTAGCATTGAAACGTCTGGGAGCATGTCCCATTTAGCAGTATACCCACAAAGGAATTGGAAAACAAAATTAGTTTTTTCTACTGTGAAGCAAAACCAAAAAAATAATGCGAAGCAAATTGGTTTGGTTTGGTTTGGTTAAGTATTGTTTAACGTCCTGTCAACAGCTTTGGCCATTTAAGGACGGCATCCCCTGTGTGCAAGATGAATGCGTGTAGTGTATGCGTGTGTTTTTTTGGGAGGCTGCGATATATTCGTGATTGTCTCATTGTAATAGCACGGAACTGATGCCGAATTTATAGTGTTACCTCACTGAAACATACTGCCGAAGACACCCTGCAGGACACCCCATCCGGTCACATTATACTGACAACGGGCGCACCAGTCGTCCCAGTCCTTAATTGCTGAACGTTAAGCAAGGAGTAGAAACTACCATTTTGAGGAGTATCACAAGAACANGGGGGGGGGGGGGGGGGGGGGGGGGGCTATAAATAAGTACATTCAGGATATCGGCCGCAGTATTGATATTGTACGATATAAAGAGTTTAAGGTAACAAACAAAACTCCAAATGGGTTCATGAAAAAGCAAATGAAGTCTGGGACATCTCGACCCACACAACATAAGGTAGTTATCGAAGCAGTTGATTTAAAAAATATTGCAACCTAGAAAGTGCTAAGAAAATCCGGTAATTCTCCGTCAAGCTGTATGGTACGCTTTGTCGATACACTTTGTAAGTTGCGGCACAGAGTTCCACCAACAGTTGAAATTCAATTCGTTCTCTTCCTTAATGACGAGAATGGCGAGTTTGTGCAGCTCTATCAGGGCGGATTGACGGGTTACGAGGCTCCCACGGGGAAACGGATGTATGGATCCCCGTTTCAAGTACGTGTCCTTAAAATACTATCCCAGCGCTGAAAAGCTGTTCAATCATTAGGCATATGAATACTCTCCGTTATGGTTTACTTCAAAACCGCTGGCCGCACGGACATTTCAAGGATTCATGTCGGGAATGTGCATCGCTGTCGGTGTAGACCGCTGTTTCACAAACCACTGTCTCCATGCGACTGCAATTCAACAAATTAATAATTGTTATTTTGAGGCAACACACATTCTGTTCATGACAGGACACCCTAGCGAATCGTCAAATCGTCAACACGAGAACAGTTAATACAAGAGGGACATTTACATTTTACAAATTTATTTTGCTGTAAGTACATTATATCAACTCAAACTATGCATTGCACATCACAGTTAGGAATACATTGTTAAATATGCATTACAAATATATGGTCCTGGACGCGCATCGTCTCTGTCCCCTCCGTACACAATCTACACCAGAAATGAGGGAACACGTTCGCAGATATCAACTGTAAATCTACCTGTATACCTAACTGTACCGTTGTCTTGACAAAACATGACAAAATAAACATAACTGCCCCAGCTGTGTTGTCACTTTGACATCTGGACAGGTCAGAACACGGGACTTACAGATGTGCAGCTTGGTGTAACCAGAATAACCATATCCAGGCTTTGGAGCAAGTTTACAGCAACGGATTCAACGGCAGATTGTCCAAAGTCGAGGAGGCCATGCATAACGTCAGGTAAACAGGAAAGGTATATCTGCTTAAACGGGCAGTAACGGCGGCAAGTACTGCTTTCAACATCCAAATCATCATCGTAGTTGTACACAAACTGCATTCCGTCGGTTGATCGAAGAAGGACTACGTTTTTAGCTCACCTGCCCGAAGGGCAAGTAAGCTTGTGCCATGGCGAAGCGTCAGTCCGGCAACTTTTACTTTAAAAAGATACTAGTCCTGAATGACTTAGTGGATTTTAACTTTTGGTCTGGATCATCTTTAGGCCAGAGACACTCAATTTTGTATAAACGGTGGGTATGGCTCCCCCAGGGGGCAGATGTGTGGAGCCTAATAGGGGAAATATAGGTACAACTTTAAAAATCCGTCTTCTACCATAGGGATTGAGGGACTACATTCCAATTTGGTCTGGAACATCCTTCGGCCAAAAGCATTCCATTTTGTATAAACGGTGGGTGTGGCCCAACTAGGGGCAGATGAATAGGGCCGAATATGGAAAATAGAGGTAAACCTTTAAAGTTTTTCTACTATAGGGATGAAAGAATTTCATCCTACTTTCGTCTGGAACATTTTTAGACCAAGAACACTCATTATTGTATAAACGGTGGGTGTACCCTTCCCCCTCCCCCCCCCTCCCCTAGGGGCAGAGTGGAGAGGGGCCGAAATAGAGGTAACACTTTTAAAATGCATCTTCTAGCGTAGGAATACTATTTATCCTTAGGACAGGACATTGACATTGGTGAAATGTCTACCTTATAAAAATGCATAAAATTGCTTGGCATGGAAAGACAAAACTCTTTTGTTGCTATGAATGTGATTCCAGGGCATCTGCCCTTGTCCTTTTGGACTTACTTCATGGGTCACTATTTGGAATAGTTTTTTATCCCCATCGCGTAAGTATTTAGACTATTAGTACGACGTGACAAGACGTATTTTCTACTAATGACACTGTTCTTTGTGTTTTGTTTGCTCCTGGTGATTTAGTCTTTGTTACAGCTTTTATGTTTTGTACTCTTTAGACAAACGCGTACGCAATTCAGCAATTTTAAAAAGTTTATACTAAATTCAAGATATTAAAGGTCTTAGAAATTGAACTGATAATGTTCTGTAAGCACAAAAATGTCTCTTTCTTCCTCACCCTTCTCATAGTGGACTATGGGAATAAGCCACAAATAGATACATAATTTAAGCAAAACATGTTTTTTTATAGTTTAAGCGATGGCTGTGACCATTTAAAGGGACATATTGAGTATCTCAAATTTGAGGGAAAAGTTATGAATAATGTTAATAAGCAATATTTCTTTTAGACATAATTTCAATATTTCTAGTATGTACGTGTATACAGGTATAGATAAAGGCTTATCACATTCAAATTGTTAAAAGTTTTCAGGGCAACATGAACCATGTATTTAAAACCTACTGACTGCTTAAACTACACAAATGATTATCGTAGTGTATGCTCATCTTCAGAACAACCAATAATAAGGGAAACATAGATAAAGACAACAACGTAAGGTGTTATTTCAAGTCAGAAACGTATTTCATATTTGTACAGGCTGAGTTCCTTTTTTATGAGGTTGTAAGTAATTATTGTATTCGTATTCGTTAGAAACCCACTATAGAAATTTAAAATATGCATTGCGCAACACATTTATTATTGTGTATATACCATATAGATGGTCCCCTCCGAACAAAAATGCTACAATTTTTTGTCTTTATTGTACGTTGTTAAACATATATTTTGTATACTATCTTTATCTGTGAATGTTTCAGACGGTCCCGGAACCTCTACAGGTCTGTCCCCGTCGGACACTACCTACACCAGAAATGAGGGGGACACGTTACCGGACATCACCTGTACAGCTGACTGTAGACCTGGCTGTACCTTTGCCTGGACAAAACCTGACAACACCAAATTTACTGCCTCAGCTGTGTTGTCACTGGGACAACTGGACAGATCAGAACATGGGACGTACAGATGTACTTCTTGGAATGTTGTCGGTACCTCCATTTCAACCGCAAGTGTTATTGTTCAGTGTAAGAAAATTGTGTGAAATAGAAAAAAAACATAAATGTAAAACATAACCGTGTTATATCTTATGTGATCGGAAAGAAATCATGAACAGTTTCTAAACTTGTTATTGCATATAAATTCACCCTTCTAGTTTCATTTGACATTAAATTGCTATTAAATATATATGAGTGTGATTGTGATAACACGTATAGTACAGACAGTTGTGTGTGTTTAAGATATTTTATTTTGTTTTGAATTTCAGACTGCTCTTACTTTTTATATTGACGGACCTTGCAAATTTTACACAATGGGAACGAATCTAAATTAAGCATGTTTTCATTATGCTAATGTCTCGTGGCTTATGTCTCTTTTGCTTCACATAAATTATCTGTTTGATTGATATTAGGAGACTTGCTATATTAAGGACTGTTAATGAAATATTTGTGTAACTGTAATTATGGATAATATTAAGATCGCTGTTTACTTTCTGTCCAGCTCGAACGTAGTTGTATGAAATGAAGAACAAGAACGTGCTGAAAGAAATGTTTTCCTATGATCGTCGAATTAGGTTGTTGAAGCGTTTGCTTGTCGCTGATTTGCCCGAACCAATGGAAAAAGAAACAGTTAATGTATATTTGTATCTGAATACGGTTGTTTTATAGCGTTTTATTTTCCCTTGTAGTTAAATTTAGGCTAACCAACCTGTTCATATGAATAACCTTGACCAATTGTCAAGGTAATTGGTCAAGGTCACATAGGTCAAATGGCTTAAATGTTTTTAACAATTTACTCCGAACAACTAAGAGTCCTAGGGTTTTGTTTATGCTGAATGAAAGGCTGCATATTTTTTTAAAGGAATTAGTTTATATTGAGTCGAGATAATGAGTAAGTAGATACACTAGCAGACCTCTTATCCCATATGTGACCGCTTCTCTCACACGTTATTTTTAATGAATTTCTGAGCGGTCCTACAAAAACTGCTGTGTATTTTAAGTTCTATTTTGTCGGAACTCGGATTGAAAAATGTTTTTTATTATTCATGGTTATCTGAAATCTATAAGTTTCAAAAAAAAAAAAACATCAATATTATGCCCTTTTAATGTGACATGTACATCGTTACATATTTATGAGACCGTGCCCTTCCCTTCGTAAATAACTAGCAATTCAGTATAAAAAGTGTATATTACAGCCCGGTGTTGTTCATATATATTCATTATATAGTTTTTCTCACTTATTAAAAAGGTTAGATATGTTTTTGAAATACTGCCATACTAATAATATGAGTAACAAGTACTAAAAACAACAACAAAAATGTCATTACCAAACTTATAGCGTGTAAAATTAACTAATTTGATCTTCTTGTCTTGGTGTTAATATATTGAGTTTAGACATTGTTGACATCTTTATTTCATATAGACGGTCCGGGTAGATCAATTATATCCACTCCTGGCACTTTTTACAACAGGACTGAAGGTGAAACTGTACAGGACATCACATGCACAGCTGCCTGTAGACCTGGCTGTACCTTTGTTTGGACAAAACCTGACAACACCAACTTTACTGCCTCAGCTGTGTTGTCACTGGGACAACTGGACAGGTCGGAACACGGGACATACATATGTAAGGCTTGGAATGTTGTCGGAACTTCTAATACAACAGTATCTATCCTTCTACATTGTAAGTACGTTTAGAAGCTTTCAATAGGTGTTTTCCCGGCTTTATATTCCATGCTACCTAGCCAAGTTTATTACTTCCCGAACATGTAAGGGATTATCAAACTGAAGCTGACTTAACCACTAATACGGTAATGTTTATACTATCATTCTATATAATCGATTTCCATTCATCATATTATAGATCAAAGTGAACTTTATATATAAATTACCTTCTACATTGTACGTTACAAGAGGAGTTAGGTGTTGTAAGCCAGCTTTCCTGTTCGATGGCACCGTTGCCCTCTGACCTTTTCATTTTATTCCACAATGACATTACACGTTTTACTGGTCCGCGGTTTTCTTTTTCTTTTGTAATTTAAACGCAAACGCATTGATTATTAAGACATGTACGAACTTATTCAACACTTTCACATCAGGATATTCTCAATGACATTATTAACATTAAATCCAATTGTTATCGTTATATACAAAGAACCTTCACTGTTGATTTTCTAACCATGCACGAGTACATGGATTATAGATCTGCCGATCTCTAAGCTTATACATTTGTGTTATCAAAAGCATTAGCCATATAACTGTTGGTTACAATGATTTTTTATCATTAATTAGCGAATTGCATTAGTCAAATATTTATATAATTCACCATACGGATTATACAATGTAAAACATGATACTCATTACTTATGTTTAATGTATTTGAAGTCCATATTACTGAATAGTACTTACCTTTTTAAGAATTAGAATTGACGAAAGGTCAATCTAACAAGTATGTAATCATGGGCAAAGAAAATTCCTGTGTCCAACCTATACATCGTTTAACTAATAACAAACAACTCACAAATGATGGTGACTTGAGATGTTACCACTTTATGGTTATGTATTTATTTATTATTTATATAGATGTCAGAGTGAAGCAAAACATTTGTAATAGTCTGTCGATATTTTATTTTAAGAAACGCAACATAACGATTCAGATTAATAACAGAATTTTTTGTGTCATAATATTAAGAAAATACTTAGGCACTCATTTGCTATCTGTTATGTAATCGTAACGCCATGCTTCTTTGCTGATTAAACATGTTAGCTGTTCAAGTGCAAAATGTAAAAATTTAAATTCAGTACAACTAATGTAGCTTTTTTTGTAAATTATCTGACTAGAAGGGGTAAGGTCAATTCAGATACATTGTACCGAACGTTACCTAATAGATAAATAATATTTATGTATAATAGTCGATAAAAAAATCAGTATCATGTTCATGAATGACTCATATGTTTTTGTCTTAAATCAGAAACAATTCAATATCAAAAATCTTCATTCATAAACGCATAATATCAATATGTTGAATAGTGAAATGCATTGTTTTTAGATGGACCCGGCGACAGTATAACATTTCAGCCCGAGCCAGATGTGTTAGAAAGCATAGAGAACCAGACCATTCCAGAAATCTTATGTTCTGCTGACTGTAGACCTTCCTGCACCTACATCTGGTCTAAAGCTGGCAGAGGTTATCCAAACCCACTGTCTCTGTCTGTTGGCACGACAGACAACGCTGGACAATACACGTGTACAGCCGACAACATTGTCAGTAAAGGAACAAAAACATGGAACCTTCTTGTCAGATGTATGTATTTTCTTTTACTCACAAGAAAAAATAGGAATTATGTTAATCTCAATCTACCAACTTCGTCAGTCACCAGTTAGTTTTAAACATTGATTAATTCAATGTTGCCATACGAAAATAAACACTTGCTCCATAAATCAACTATGAACACATCATTTTCCCAAATCTAACCCTTTGAACATTCTTAACAAATATTTAACTTTTGCAAAAAATAATTGTTTGCGTCAAACCTCGCCGTATCGCCATTGCAGTGTAGTTTTATGTACTGATGGGCATTTTAAAATCAACTCGCAAAATAATGAAGGTAAGTTTTGGTCAGTAATAAATTTTGACCAATGTGCGAATCAGGCTTATTTCCAAGTAAAATGTCGATTAAGGGATGCACTAACAAGTAAGAGGAAGTGTGAATGCCGTTTTCTCGACGTCCACCTAATCAATATTTCCAAAACAAATTGTCGGTTAACAGTAGAAATCCTAAATCCGACTAAATATCATCAATGGTAAGAGGTTCCAATGCTTTCCTCGTTTGACAACTATATTCCTTGTACTTTGCAGCATACACTCGAGGAAACACAAACGATAAGTTTGGATGTACAGTTGGGGAAGGTAAATTTCACTACGTATTCGCTTTATCATACCGGCCCCAAAAGAAACGTTGCATTGCTGTCTTTATAGTGTTTCATTAACGTATCGAAAATGCTTTCAGTTTACATTGTCAAATCGGTAACAATATGTGTTGTATCAATTAATTGACTTCCGTTTCATTCCAATCTCTCCATGAAACGATGCACCTCCCCCCAAAAAATAAAATAATGCAGGATCGGCCGTTGGCCGTCGAATACGTGGCTGTAAACTTACCCAAAAGCCTAGGGAATGGTTATTATTCTGGCCACACCAAACCGCCGTGCGACCTCAGCGTACCTTATGCTATCCCCAAAATAGTAGTTTTTTTCCAGATGTTACGAACATGTCATATTCTAAATAATAAATCGTTTCTTTTGGGGGCGATTGTAGGTAATAACTTACTTATTTTCAAATAATTGAAGGTTACTTTTTTGTTTGATCGGATCAATTTTTCAAGTAGGAGTATTTTGTCGTTATAATTTTAACACCCATATCTTTAGATACATCAATAGCAAATTGTGCACTTTATTATTTTATTTAAATGACAAAAGGTCCAGCATACTGTTGTCTCTCCAATGAAAGCAAATGTTGTCTATCCATTTCCTCACATGTTTGATCTTTCATATAAAACTGGATTTATTGAAAAGATTATCACGTCCACGAACAAAACACTTGTACAGTTGTTTATCTTCATCATAATCATAAGGGAACGAATTGCCATCGTCGATCGTATTGAATCACCCGAACTTGAAATTAAGAACAATTTAGAATTTTAAAAAATATAGATTTACACTCCGCTCCTTCGAATAACGTCAGTCCTAAAAGTTTGTCCGGGGTATATCTTCTATACCATTTCACATGAAGTAACAAGATTTGGTAGGCAAATACATCTTGGAAGGCAAAGTATCATGTACAAAAAGAAGGTCACTCTGACTAATGGTTTAACCTTTGACCTAACAAATTGTCTGTAGTATATCTTCCAAACTATTTCACCCAGAGAACCAATACATCCTGGGATGCTTGAGTGTCCAGCAAAAAAGTCACCGTCACTTATGCTGGCTGGAGAAATGCGGAGTACAAAATGTATGCCACTCCAAACTACATCCTGAGATAGGTGTACAAGCTCTGTAAATAAGAATTCAGTACCGATGGGGGACTATGGATTGCATCATAACTTGCCTTAATAACAATATGACCAACAAAGAGTTGAAGTGGTTAAATGTAGCAGTTGGCTATGTATCAAAGAGCTTGTTCCGATTATCGTTCACTCTGTGAAATATGTCAGATAACCACGGACAAATTTATAACAAGATATTTCGAAAGATGCATTTTTATAAAAACATTCGGCAAGTTTTACGATCACCTTCAAATATTAATTTCGTACATTCGTAAGGTTTATCGCTTTTAAGCTCAAATGATGATTTTGTAACACTGTCATATTCCATTCCATTTTTTTATATGTTGGCGACAACATACACACTAAGGGTGTATGTAGGATGTTAACTGAAGATACAACTTATGCTGTATATTTTTTGTTTGATGAAGAACGTTCCTGCTGTACAGATACCATGTATGTAACAGGAGTTGTCCTGACGTGTACTGGTGTCATCACGCTCCTGTTGACAGTTGGACTTGGGATATTTATTAGTCGTTAGTATATCTTATTCAAATCTTAAAAAAGAAAGAAAACAAAATACAAAATCCAATATTGCTAACAATATTAATAGTAGTTATGTTTCGTATATTTATATTCATGCATTTGTCAGTCTGTTGTCTATAATATGAGTGAATACAACATCTTACAGACAACTCAGTGGCGGATCCAAAGGCTTTTTTTGGGGCTTCAGGCCCCCCCCCCCC